TACACTATCCCGGAGAAGCCATCATGATTGCTACAGTGACCATACACTGTGGTACAGGAATAACAGAGAACAGGAGAAGCAAGTAAGAAATATTCATTACTAGCTGACATGAATTAGAGATGGAATTTTATAGTTTCTCTTCTAGCAAGAAACTACTTAAATTGTGTCTGTTGCCTCTATGTGTAAATGAGTTCCAGGAATGCATGGGTGCACACAAACCTATGCCCACTGACCAGACTTTTCGTTCTGCAAGTCCTTCTTGTAATGCAGTGGTAGGTAATGATACTATCAGTTTGCTTAATGCAGTCACTGAACTCTCAAATATTCCAAATTTAGCAGAAAAAGGTCATGTTAGTAATAAGAAGACAAACTTAACTAGAAGGATTTACTGCTAATATTAATGTGCCATTTTATTACTAGGGTGCTAAGATTGGCCCTATTCTGATTCACAGCAATTTCCATTCTCTAATAAATGGATGTAAACTTAGGTCCATTCACTCTCAAAACACTATTTTGGAATAATTAATTTTATAACAAATGTCTCTCACTGCAAACCTCTCCTGTGGTTGTTTTCAGGAACATAGACCTTTCTGTCTTGCCAAAGTGGCCTTTCCCAGTGCCTGCCCAATGAAGCTCCAGAGATGGACCCATGCAGCTTGTTCGAAAACACATTCTGGCTTCTGAGAAATTCACACTGTGATTTGTGAACAAAGCACTCCAGCAGCATGCCAATCTAAGCTGCAAAATGAAGTACTCTAAAAAGAATAGAGCAGCCTGTATTTGTCAGAAAACTGAGACACCAGAATTACTGTCTTTAAGGGAAAATAATAAGGCTAATTTATTTACTAAGATAGAAATAAATACTCCTTTGCATAGCTGAAAACAGACTTCTGAGCTATCACCCAACTCAATGTGTTTTTCAGGGACAACCTGAAGTGAAGTCTTCTAGCCTGGTACTTGATGGATTTCCTTCCTCTCTTCCACTTGACTCCAGGGCCAAGAGGGGCTCCACTGGGGAATGTCCCTGCCAGACTGAGTTCTCTGACAGTGCATTCACCTGTTACTTGTGTTCTGACACCATCAAAGTAATGAAAATAGAATGGAAGATCAAAACTCACTCTTGAACACTGTCATTTTATATATATATGTACATTAAAAAAAATACGTAATGTATGGAGTTCCATCTTATTGTAGCTTTGGGCTAATTGATATGGACTGCAAACGACCTAAGGAAAAAATTCTTCGTTTTCTTAAATTATCCCTTTTCTCCATATACATGGAGAAGTAGGAAAAGTATCATAAAATGGGCTGTTTTAGCTTCTCATGTGCTGCTTGCAGGAGATAGGAACATGCAAGAAAAATGTTTGTGGTGCTTTCTGAAAAGACTGTGGACTGGGTTTTACAACTCTACTTCCTGCCTGCTTAACTTTGGTGAGCCTTCATGCTCCTATTCTAGGAATGTCTTGGCATAAACTATTTTTTAAGAATTATATGTAAATGTGGCAATACAGAATCTCCATAAATAATATATAAAACAATATCCTACCCTTGCAGTCTACAGTTATATATACATATATATATTATATACCTCTACAGTCTACTTCTTTTAAAATAGATTTTTATACCATAGACATCGTTAAGCACCTTGGTCTACATACATTTCTGAACATCAACTCTGATGCTTGTAGTGTCAGCTCAGATAAGTATATAATTTTATAAAAATTATTCATTAAATTGAGAAGTGAAACTGTCTCTGTCTTGCAAATCTAACAGATCTAGATCTCTTCTATTCTAGGGCCTCACCTTATCATCCAGCTTGTACACTCAGATTTTATTCAACAAACAAACTTAAACAAATAAATGGAACATTACACATAATAATAATGATGCTACCTGGGAATACAATTCAGAGACCATTCCCTATGAGTGAAATCCAAAATGTCCAAAACTTGATAAATCTGGTGTTCTGTGAAAGGAGTAATTTTTGTTACGAATATGCTTTTTCCCTGGCCACCACATTTATTTCAAATTTATAAAAGAGATGTTAGTCTTTTTATACATTTTAAGCAGGTTGAGTAAGAACAATTATTTAAAAGATAGCTTTTTCTTTCTTTCCAGAGATTAACTTGCATTTTTTTTGCCTCTCCTCATCTGTGATTCAGCTGTATTGATGTACTTTATGAGCACCCTCCTGCCTGTACCCTGTATGCACTCAATTATTTAGTGGCATACTGTAATATGACAAGGCTCTCCTGCACTGTCTACTTTGTTCCCTATCAATTCAGCAGCCACAAAATCAGACAGTCAGGCACACTGACCATGAACTTAGGGAAAATAGCCATGATCAATTTAGCTGCTGCTGAGCTCTCCAAGACAATCTCCTGCATCTTCTTTCTCTTTGTTGAGAGGTTGATCAGACTAATGATGAAGTCAGTTCATCAAGCAGTGTTTTGTCTTACATACAACCAAATCAGAAGGCCAAGCTTGAGAAATGACACAGATGTGGCAACATGAAACATCTGGCTTTGTAAGAAGAGTGAAATGACCACTCACTCCTGAGAGTACTTCACATCACCAAAGTCATCCATTTCCTCTAGTTATGCTGTGTTCAGCATCACGAGTACATGAGTATCATCTTTCTTTTAGATATATATATACAAGGTTGTGAAATTTAAAGGACACCATTAGCCTAGCAATCACACCTCAGACATAAAATCTTTCTAGCATACGCAATGCTAAAATTAACTAAGTACAACTGAGGCACTACAGAGAAACAATTGCTTTAATGCATTCTCTTTACTTGTGGTTGGGTTAGTGTTATCAATTCAAATTCAGAACACCTAATCTTGGGCAAAACATCTCCTGGCAAATAACTCTTCACAAGACGAGTAGGTAAAGAATGTCAGTGGTGACAAATGTTGCATATCTGCAAAGAAACTTTTAAAAATTGCACAACCTCACTTGGAATAAAAATCTTGATGTGAATACTGAAGACAAAAACTTCACAGTTAACTTAGCAGTAGCAGGGTTTGTTCAAAGCCTGACAACTATTTCTGGATTTAAATGTCTGGAACAATCCAGAATTGCATTTTTCCAGTCTTGGTAGTAATTCAATGTCTGCCTCTGCTTTGTATCTTTCATTCCTTTCTACATTCCTGTCTTTATGCCTTTCCTCCTTCTCGCCTCTCTTACTCATTCTTTTTTTCCATCTTCTATCATTAAATATGTTTTTTATATCTGCATGTGGAAGACTGGTTTTCAAGTAGGTCTTACATGTACTTCTTCTTGTTATTGTTACTACAGTAATTATTAATATTATTTTTATTATTTTACATTAACAGAAATGAGCATAAAATAATTAATGCTGTTTCCCTAAGTAGGTATTCATTTTAGGGCATTTTCATCAGCCTGGAATTCCCAGAATCTCCAATGTGAACCAAAAAAAAATCTTAGAAGAAAGATTAAGTTATAAAATTACTTCTATTCAGTCAGTTTGTGAAAAATAAAAGCCCCCAGAATTAAATCTCAAGTTTTTCCAGTGTGATTTTGCTTCAAAAATATTTCAGCAAAAGCAGCCTCATGGATCTCCCAGAAACTGTTGAAAGATCTTGTGTTCTTCAAGAGAGTACAAATGTGTGTTAAAGGGATAGCCTTGCCACTGCAGAATAGGAGCCTCAGAGACAAGCTGTTTTCTTTTCCTGTCACATATCTCCATAATAAAGTAATAGCCCTACTGATACTTGTGCAACTCTACAGCACCTTTAAAATATGATCCCAGTGACAGTAGATAATGATGCCTTCTTCTCTTTTCCATAGTTGATTGAGGTAGAATTTTAGTCATGATATGCCTGAGGATGATTAAAAAGAAGTAATATACATGCCCTACTAACTGGGTTCTATCCTGTCAAAGGAAATGTAGAGGAACTTAGAAAGTTAATACTGTTTTATTAATCACTTTAAATGCAAAAATATCAAACAAAGAAAACAACAGCCAGCATGATATAGTACCATTTTAGAGTCTAGATCACATTGATCAGATTTGTTATATCCTTTTTCAGGCACCTGAAGACTTGATCAAAACAATGCATTGAGCTCAACATACCAGCTCCTTCTTCTTCATGCACTCCATGAGGATAATGAAGAGATGCTGTGCTTGGGTTCGGGTGTATGTGAAAGTCTTCTGTATGGTAACTAGCAACTGGTCCCTCAAAGACTCGTTGATAAGTCTGAAATTCAAAATGAAAAAATTAAGTAGAAAACTAGACAGGAGAGAACATTGTAACTTCAGACAAGGTTTTTATTCAGGGGTAAGAGTCAAACAACAAATCACTGATGGTTGTTTTGGACAGGTCTGAAGGACGGGAATTGCTGAAACCATCAGAGATAAATTGGAAAACACTGTTCTAGAAAAACGTGTTGGCTGTGCTGAGGTAGCTCATCTCCAAAGTTTTTATATCAGTTCCCACATATTGCATGACAGAAGGTCATTCAAACTATCAGCTCTGTGGGATTTCCTAACAAAAACAAGAACCGCACTGACAGTCTGGATTTGAGGGAGAGGTGAACTGAAGACTCCTTTCTGTCAGTGAGTTAGCAGAATTCAACTCACAGTTAATTTTATGTAAGTGGGAGCGTTTGTATTGTCAGTGTTTTTGATTTTAGCTTGAAAATTCCAGCAGTTTCAACTCGCCCTACTGATGCTACATGGGACCAGGTAAGAAATTTCTCTATTCCTTACTCTACTCAAAGAAAACATTTTGTCTTTGTTCATGCTGATCATCTAGGAGCTCAAGAGAACCTATTTTTATATTCCTCCTCAGTGCTAATTTCAGTACTTGCACGAAGTGACCCGACAGCAGAAATAAATAGTAATCTTATATGGAATATTAGTACCTGATCCCTATCTATTGATATCAGTCCTTGGGACTGTTCTGGTTGAAACACAATGTCCTACAAAATAGTGGGCTCTAGTTTAAAATATGTATCCTTTGCTGTAGGAAAGCTTCTACACTAAAATTTTCTCACTTAAAAATTGTAACTGAGTGTTTCAAATTAGCTAAGTTGGAATATTTTATTAGATAAGTTATGGTAGGTCATCTGGTGAAACAAAAATCAGAGAATCTTCATGTCTATTATTTTATGACAGAAGATAAACAAATATTTAGCCCTGAAGCTACTGCACAGAAATACTAGAAGTAGCACAATATCCAAAAGCCGTTGTTAGCTTATGGCAGCTGCTTTGGAAGAACAATGACCAAACCCCTGTATTTTTCATACTATTGGTAAAAGTTGCCTGTACTTCTCTGCAGCAAGGAAGCACAAAGGACATTGCAGGATATTCATTATACAATCGAATTTCAAGTATGATTTAATTATCTAGTCTTTATACTTACAGCAAACACGCTGTTAGAAGAGACAACAAATGGGAATGGGAAAGAAGTATAGACGCGCATGGGAGAATACAGAAGATCTGGCATATAGAGTGCATATGTTGTCTACTCTCTAAATTTGATTTTGGCTGTAAATATTCCTGTTGAGAAGTAATTCAACTTCACAAAGAAGGCTGTAAGGCATATGTCAATGTGTTTGAATTAAAATGAGTTTACATGGGGTTTTAGACCATAATGTATGGAGCACTGTTTTTTCCATGCCTATTGCAGACTCCTCTTGAGTGATGGGTCTACCTCTGCACTTCCCCTTTTCATCAAGGCCCTGGATGTGCTATTTCCCGGGATACTGGAAAGGTGGCAACAATGCATCTACTGCCCATACATTAGGTAAGCACTCTTTCCCCATAGCATGACCTGCCTCCTTCACAAAAAGGCAACATATGATGAGTTACAACCTCCAACCCTCTTGGTGGACAGCAATAGAGCTGACAGCAGAGGACTTTCTGTGTGGGAGTTATAAGAAAGATAAACTCACCTCCTGTATAGGAGCAAGGATGTTGCAAGCACATGGGAACATGAAACAAGATGTCAGAGTACAGGTAGAAATGTAGATTCACTCCATGTTAACGAGAATCAGCTTGGAAAGACCGATACCCTGAAAAGCACTAACATGCTTTGAGTTGCAGATTAGTAGGTCATATATGATATAAATTCTGAGTTTAGGCTCTTGAAAAAAAATCTGTTGGAAATTTGCTTTAATCAAGAATGCTGTTTTCAAACAAAATGGTGCTATCACTGTAAATATAAGTGGTTCAGAACTATGCAACCTTCCATCCTTCAAATGAAGAAAGAAAAAAGAGGTTATTCAAAATGAACACGTTTCTTAAAAACATCAACTGGAGAATCTAAAGAGATTCAAATAAAGCTCTAATTTCCTTTGGAAATTACCTATGGAAGTGAAGTACATGAAAGATTATAAAAAGTATATGAAAAAATATATACGGAATTGAAAGAACCTCAAATTGGAGAATTTCAGAAAACATTTCCAGAGATTCCAGAATGAAAACCATCATATTTTCTTATAATAATTTCATTTTCCTTTAAAAATGTGTAGAATCCAACTCTGAAGTTTCAATTCAGAAACTGGCTCTCCCTCAGGCTAACACACACAGCCTTATTAAATGCTTTTCTTTAACATCTCATTGGTCTGCAAATCTACAGCAAATTCAATCTCTTTGTGAGATGAAAAACTTGAAGTGATTTTAATCAGAAACAGAAACAATAAAGGTAATCATTCTGTTAAAACAATTATAGTTTTGTATAAACTGAAATCAGTCATATCAAGACTAAATCACATTTATTACTTAGGAATCTACAAATGTTAGAAGGTAGCAAATGTTTCAATTGTGCAACCCAGCTGGGACAAATACAAACTGCGGCACGCTATTAGAGGCTAAATCTATGATGCAAACACTAAATCCAATTTGTGTAAAACAAGTAACTTCAGAGACTACTGTGAGCAAAACAATCGGGACTTGAAGGTGGGGTGATGAATTATCTGCTATGCAAACACAATCACTTTTCTTACACACACACCTTAAGTACATGCTTTTTCAAATCACAGATTTCTACTTTTAGATTCAAGGGAAAGGAGATGGCTCTTTGACTCTGGAACACAGGAGACTCTTGGCCACTAACTTGGGTACAGTATATTCAGGAGCCTCTATCACAGATTATGAACCTAATATGCGTAAGGTTCCATAGGCATAAAATTCCCTCTTTACCAGACTCAAGCACCACAATTATGACTTCCATTAGAGTCGACATTTTTATCATCTTTCTACTAGGCTTCAGTTCCAAAAATATTTTGCAACATGCTAATAAAATTCTCTTTGGGGCATTTTGATGGCATGATTCCCTGAATTCCACTTAATTTGTCATGGAAAAAATACCATTGGTAACTTGCTCCTGACTAAACGAAACAACAGTTTTACCTGTTCTTTTATTTCCTTTCTCACATAGTTCAAAACTGATAATTCATTCCCTAAATACCTAAGACATGCCCATTATCCTACCAATCCAGGTCAAGTCAGCCTTTTTTTTCTTTCCCAGAGCAGCCGGATTGCTGATGGAATATACATACCTACTGTCAAAAATCTCTGATCTGAAGTAGAACTATGTACATCTACATGTATTTTCAGAACAAAAATTTACCCGTAATTGTTGCTAAGAGGTGGGGGTTTGTTTTGTTTGTTTGTTTGCTTTAAGAAAACATTTCTTTTATACAACAGATTATCATAATTGAGCTGTATGGCCTTACAGTAAAGTCAGGACCTTGAATTTTAGGAAAAAGAAAAAACCTTGTAACTGCTCAAGGAGTTAGTCAGTCGGACCCCCTGGGAAACTGCCCTCAGTGCAGCAGAACTGCCCTTGCAAATTGCCCTCAGGGAGCAGACCAGAGCTGGCAGATTTTTAGGGACACTTTCCATAGAGCATAAGAGCCAGCGATCCTCAGGTGAAAGAAATTGGGCAAGGAAGGCAAGAGACTTTAATGGATGAGTGGAGTCCTGCTGGTTAAACTAAAAGGAAGGGAATGCACCGGCAGTGGAAAAAGGTACAGATAACCTGGAGAGAACATAGGGACACAGCCCAGTTGTGTAGGATGGGGTGAGGAAAGACAAGGAAAAGATGGAGCTGAACTTGTCAAGGGATGCAAAGAATAATAAGAATGGCTTCTACGGTGTGTCAGCCAGAAAAGGAAGGTTGAAGAAAGTGTTTACCCCACCTGGTAAGCAAGGCTGGCAAACTGGCAACAATGTACGAGGAGGAGGCCGAGGTACTCAACAACTCAACAAAGCCAAATGCAAAGTCCTTTGGCTGGGTTTGGGCAACTCCCAGTGTCAATACAGGCTGGGGGATGAACAGATCAAGAACAGTCCTCTTGAGAAGGACTTGGGGGTGTTGATGGGTGAGAGGCTGGACATGAGCCAGCAATGTGCACTTGCAGCCCACAAAGCCAACTGTCTCCTGGGCTGCATCAAAGGCAGAGTGCTCAGCATCAAGAGAGGGAATTCTGTCCCTCTGCTCTGCTCTGGGGTGCTGTGTCCAGCTCTGGGATCAACAGTACAGGAAAGACATGAACCTGCTTGAGCAGGTCCAGAGGAGGGCCACAAAGACGATCAGAGGAACACCTCTCCTATGAGAAAAGGCAGAGAGACTTGGGGGTGTTCAGCCTGGAGAAGAGAAGGAGAAGGCTTCAAGGAGACCTTATTGAAGTTTTTGAGTACTTGAAAGGTGCCTGTAGGAGAGATGGGACATACTTTTTAGCAGTGTGACAGAACAAGAGACAATGTTTTTAAAACTAAGAATGATGATTTAGATTAGATTTATAGGTAAGGATTCATATTCTAAGGAAGAAGATTTTTACAATGAAGATGATAAAACAGTGGAACAGGTGGCCCAGAGATGCGGTAGGTACCCGGAAACATTCAAGGTCAGGTCGGAGAGGCCTCTGAATAACGCGATCTACTTGAAGATGTCCCTGTACATAGCAGGAGAGTTGGATTAGATGACCTCTAAAGGATGCTGTCCAATCAAAACTATTCTATGATCTTATGAAAGAAAAGGCAATAGAGACAACATAAACAAAGTGGCAATCTAGTTCTGTCCAAGATATACTGTATGATTAAACAGCAAAGCAAAACTTTCTCCATTGCTTTGTCTTATGCAGAAGACACAAATGACATTATTTTGGCCTACACTCCTCAGAAAGAATTTTTTTAAAAATCCATGCCTAATATTTGAGGAGATAATAAACATTCCACTTAATCTTTCAGACTCATGGCATATGATTTTGTAGTGAGCACTGGAGACAATTTGAAAGATCTGGTCCATAGACAGCTGCCTAAATTATGCAGAAGGTACCAAGAAATTACTCAGCTTACTACTGAGAATTTTATTTCCTTTAAGTGAAATGTAGCCACCTAGTGCATTCTTAACACTCTGTTCAAGATTTTTCAGACCAAGGCAATATGTACTCCCTGATATTAAAGTTCTAATAAACTTAAAAAAGCCCACCAGTATTAATTCTACATATATAATATTCATGCTGAAACCTCAGTGGGAAACTGCATATGAGCCTTTCCTCCCCCGGGAACTTCAATGAAAGAGGTGAGATAATGAGACCTCAAAACTGATTTACCCCCAAAGACGTCTTTACTTCAAAGTGTGCTTCACCACTCCTTCTAACACTCCTGGTGGTACACCACATACCTGCTGCAAGGCAGCGCAGGTACAGCTCTCTGTTTTGCAGGTAGCCTCCTTCCACTGCAGCCCAGAGAAGTCTTGCTCACAGTTACACAGTGTACCCAAATACTGCCCTTGGGGAGTGAAATGTTTGCCTTGTCACAAGAAAAGCCTACAATAAGGCAATTTCAAGCTTATCTCCTATTTTTTCAAGGATACACAGGCATTGACAGTGTAAAGGGGTACTGCACCTTGACTGATATTTTCTGCTATGTGGAATGTTTTAGGAAGAGTAAATTATGAAGAGGGAAGGCAAGCACATCACAATTCTTTGAAACCCAGTACAAAAGGACCTGTTGGGCAGATATGCAATTGTCCAACACTCTTAAGGATTTCTCTAAAAGGATAGACTGGCACCACACTGATCAAAACTCAAGCAGAGAGATGTGTTTGTCCTCCTTCACCTCCAGACATAGTTGCTTTCCCCCGGACACAAATTTTCAAATAAACTTTAAAAATCACAGAACTCACAGTAGTGCTTAGTACACACATGCACCCATTCTTATATGTAGAGAATGAATGAATCCTTGTAGGGCTGCAGTGAGTGAGAATTTAAGATTGCAAAACCAGCATGACAATATCAACATACATGTGAGTTTGTTTCTGCCATTAATGATGTGGGTTTTGAATGATTTAAATTAGATACCCAGTAAGAGGAGTTGGAAGATACACTGTATCTCGGAGAAGACCCTGATCCTGGCCAGCTGCCAGAATTAAAATAGGTTTTTGACTTTATAGTCTGATTGCACAGTGGACTGCAGAATTAAACTCTGCATGCAATTTGGATGTATTACCTTGATTTAAGGTTTAATAGACACAGTTTTGTATAACCTACTTAGATTCCATCCAAAAGAAAAGTTAGTAGCTGAACTCAGTTAACAGAGCAATTATTTGTTATACTCGTGATATTGCTAAGCACTACTCAAATGAAGATTACGGGGGGGAGAAAAGAATAAAATATTTTTATGATATAAATTATACTGGCATTTCACTTCTGTGTCATTGCATGTTAGACTGATGTTTTCTGAAGCAGAGTGAACACACAGAAATTCCCACTAGCTAGCTTTACAAATTTCATAGCTTGTGCATTCTATTTAGTGCTAGGTGAAAAATACAAATAGTTTTGCAGTTTGATAATGCTGCAGTAACCACCGGGAATAGGACCCCCACAGAAAGAAGACCAATAGTAAGGGAAAATAATACCTTTCACAAAGGAAGACTTGAGCATCTCAGGTTAAAAATGCCTGTTCTGCCCCTATTGATACTATCAATCGCCTTTCTTAAATATAGGAGTTTGTGATGATTAAATAGAACCATAAAATCATAGAATCATAGAATGGTCTGGGTTGGAATGAACCTATAAAGATCATCTAATTCCGACCCCCCTGCCATGAGCAGGAACACATTTCACTAGGTCAGGTTGCTCAAAGCCCAATCTAACCTGGCCAGGAACAATTCCAGGGGTAAGGCACCCACAGCTTCTCTGGGCAACTTCTTTCAGTGCCTCACCACCCTCACAGTAAAGAATATCTTCCTTATGCACAATCTAAAGCTGTCTTCTTCCAGTTTAAAGCCATTGCCCCTTGTCCTGTCACCACAGATCCCTGTAAAAAGTCTCTCTCCAGCTTCCATTTAAGTCCCCTTTATATATTGAAATAAATTCATTCATTTTGTATTTTTTGGCATGATGACATCAAAACACAGACAAGGTTCATGCAAACTATATACGTACATAGCAGATAAATGGATAAAACATATTTGAGTAAGGTTATGTGAAATGTGTTATCAGTGAGGTCACTGGCAACAGAGAAAAAACTTCTCAAAGATACAATGAAACCTAGCACACTCATATGTATCCTTGATGCAGCACTGGACTATGCATGAACCTGAATATAAAATAGATCCAGGTATTTGTTAAAAACTATCTTTTTCCCAGTAGGAGTATTAGGTTGAGTAAGTTAATGAACACATCTATTTTAAAAACACATAACAATAACTGGGCTAGAGCTCAGTGCTTACAGATTTATATTTTATTATTTGCTTAACTCTGTTGTATCTGTGAATACATATGTTCACACAGTCTAACACATACAAAAATGAGTTCCCTCCCAAGGAATCTCAACCATAAAATTACAGCAACTACTTCGATAAAAAGCATGAAACAAGTCTTAGTTATAAGAATCTAAGGGGGTTTTAATTCCTCTTTCATGTTTTGTTCTGAAATTATTAAATTTTCCCTTATTTGTTATTTCTGAGCAGCAGACTCTGGGTTCTCCTTTGGGAGCTTTGAGGGGACAAAGTCCATGATCATTGCAGAACACCTGGAAACCCTCTGAGGGTGACTGTGGCTGTCAGGTAAGGATTAGTTTAGGGCATACACAAGGCTGTGGGCCAAGAAATCTTCAGAATTTTCCAATGAGAATGCTTCTACCCTTGATCTATGGTGCCTGCAGCCTTATTTGCAACTCACCCTTTATGAGGGAGGGTCCAGCACTCGTTAACAGGTGCCTGGGAAAGGGCTATCAAAGAACCAGACCAAGAGTACAGCCAAGCTTGTGCAGTAGCTTGTGCAAGAGGATGCAAAGGGGGCCTCAGATGAATTTGTTCAAGCATAAATAGTCTCAAGTGTGGTGGTGATATGCTAGAGAGCAATTTTCTCCAGGTATTGGAGCAGCTGTCCCTGTCAGAGTAGAGGCTTTGATGCCAAATAGATGGAGCTTTCAGCAGTAGATGTGAATCTACAAGTCCTGGGCTGCAGTCTTATTCTTGACGCCAGGAGAGATGGCCTTCTTTACTGTAGATCTGCTGTCTTGGAAGAGCTGTACCTCCAAGGACAGGAGTTGCAGAAGGAAGTGAGAAGGCTACCCACCATCAGTAAAGTTGAAAAGGAAATAGGATCTTCTCTGAAATGCAACAGCTTGAAGAGTCCTAGTCCCCAACTGCAATACAGATGCAGGAAGTGTCCACACTTAGTACTTAGGTAAGTGCAACCTCTGTATAAAGCAAAGGATAAAAGCTGGTGACTGCTGGCATAAAAAGTATGGCACCTGCACCACTTAACAATTTACAACTACAAAACAGGCTGAAGTGGAACCATATGAAGAGGAACTCCAGCAAAGGATCTGTGCCACCTGAATCTAACCTGTGCAAGACCATCAGGAGGAATCACTCACTGATTATAGTGGGCATCTCCTAGCTGTAGGGGACAGAAGAACTCATCTGTTAACCTGGCCTATCAGCTACAGAGGCTTGTTGCCTGTTGGGGAGACTGCTGAAGCTTGTCTAACCCCCTACTGTTTTCCTCGTGGTCACCAATGATACTGTAAGGGGAAACCCGAAGAATAGGTAAAGTGACTGTGGAACCTGGGAGCAGCAGTGAAGAGCATGACTGGTGTTCTCATCCTTGCTGGTCAAATGAAAGGGCGTGAGGAGGGGTACACTGATAATATCAGTCAATAGCTGCCTGCAGAGTTGGTGTTAGTGACAGGGTTCTGTGACCATGGGACCTGTCTGAAAACCAGTGACTGATTGTGAGAGATGAAAACCACCTCACTAAGCAGGACAAAGTTACCTTTGCTAAAATGGCTGACCTGGTAAGAAGGGGTTTAAAGCAGGAATACTGGGGTAGGGACAGAGTTTCCTCAGCAGCCCTACTGGGAGCATGATGCACAGGGTTGATGAGCCTGGACTGATGTGATGGGAAGGGATCACAAAATCAAAAAAATAGGGCTTAAGCAGGTTCACACACATCATCTTTAGGTAAGCAAGGAAGTGCCTACAGGATACAAGCTTTTAGAAAAAGACAGGTTGGGGAGACGATTTGGAGTTGCCCTTTATGTAAGAACAGCTGAAGTGCATGGCCCTCTGCCTTTGGATGGATGAGGAACCAACTGAGATTCTGCAAAGAAGGTGGGACAGGGCAAAATACAGACCGGCACACTAGCAGTCATGTGTGAGTATAGACAGGTGTGCAGAGTCATGCTCAGTAGGCAAGACAAATACAAACTAGCTTATATGAATACGTGGGACTAAAAGAAGCCTGAAGACAGTGGTACATTGTATTATAATGAAAGCATCTCTAAGCTGGTGAAAGTAATTCCCCATGCCCTTTGACAGAATCCTTTGACCTGCAAATGCAAGACACCAGACACTGTACTTGTCTATGTGCTATGTGTCACGGTAAGTAACTATACGATACAATTTCTATGCCTTTTTTATTATGTAGACTTTTGTTAGTGGTGCTTTAAGTCTTTATTTTGTTTTGTTTTGTTCTAAATGCCTTCAACATTTCACCCATATCAATGATAGCAGTTTATTTTCACTACATTGTGAATAATTTCCTGATCTCTGTCTTACCATCAAATTGAATTGTGGATAGAGAAAGAACATACATTAGGAAATCACTTACCCTCCTTCCTCAGAGTATTTGTGCCCAAAAGCAAGGATGTCAGATGCCCGGCCACTGCCATCGCATATCACAACGGGAACAGGAGGAGTGTCTCGCAGGTACTCCAGAACAATGGAGATAACGTTGGGACCTCCTTCTACAATAAGGGCCACCACTGGCACCCCTTGACCAATTCCTGGAGTAAAAAAAAGAAAGAAACAAACCAAAACAAACCAAAACAACCAACCAACCAAACAAAAAACCATACACACACAAAAAAAAACAAACCCAAAAAAGAAACAAAAAAATGCAAAGCCAGCAAGGCAAACAAAACATAACAGAAGACAGAAGAAAAAAATATCAGACCAAATAACTGCATTATGACTGCACAGTGTTATGCTAGAGAAAATGGCATTCAGAAAATCAGATATTTTAAGGACAGGTGGGATCAGTGTAGTCATCTTGTCACTTCCAGCGTATAAACCAGTATTTTCTAGAATTATCTTCTGTTTTAAATACAAGACTTATATTTAAATAGATCTGGTTTTTTTTCTTTTAAAGATGAAATACTGGCTTGGACACATAGAGAACTGCATTTCTTCCTAACATGTTCATAATCATGCTTGTAGTCTAGGTTTTGCATGGTATCAGTTTCCCATCATTGGGTCTTCCAATAGCTTTGCTTGTTGTTTTAAAATCAGCTCTATGATATTTTTCTTGCAATATTTGATCCACTTTGAGGTTGTAGATGGATAGCCCTTCAACCTTCTCTTTGATAAACTAAACACATTCTATTACAAGTCAGTGCTATACTTGTTTTTCAGTTCAATTAGGTCTCACAGTTTCTCTCTGAATTCTCTTAAAATTTGCAGCACATCCTTGATTTGCAGACCCCACACTAGGGATGTTACTCAGAGAGCTGAACTAAAGGAAAGACATCTTTATTTCAAGCACTGATGGTGTAATTGTATGTGAGTGCCTTGCAAAAGTTGCAGTTGCCAGGAAGGTTGTATGGATTTGTTGAAAGGCAACCTGACACTAGGTTGGTGTTAGCCTACCTGAAAAAGCTTTTATGGTATTTACTTCTTGACCACTTGAGACTGGGAACATTTAAAAAGACTCAGGTGATAGAAGTAGTTGAACATTTTCTATTAGCATTTTTTTTCCAGTAGAAAGGTTTTTTTCCTTTTAAACTAGCTTTTCCTAAAAACAATATGCATTTTGCACAAAATTTTGACATTTCACTGAAAAAAAAAAAAAAGAGTGTCCTAGACCATTAATGGTTGGTTTGGGAAAAGCTGCTTGAGGACAGGTAGCAGATGTTAATGTGTCTGCCCAAGTTTTCATTTAGAGTGGGTTCAATCCCCAGAAGCAAAGGTAAGCCTGTGAGGCTGGAACATTAAATCTGGTTGCACCCTCTAGAAACATTCACAGGTCAAATGATTTTAAGAATTTGAATTACTGTCAAAAATGAAGTGAACTGTTCTTGAAGAAAGAAAGAAAAATCCCTAGTTCTTATATGCAACAGCAGAATATTCTATGCACCTCCTAAACTACTTTACAAACAAATATTTTGTTTCCTGGAGTGACTCTCAGCATATGTAGTTATGCCTCTATCTAGTGTTAGTTTGTGGGTTTTTATTATATAACTTAAGTAAAAGTGTGTGGTAGTTATATTAAGAAAACTACAAGTTATAAAATGTAGGCTAATGAAAGAGAGTAAGAAGGGTAGAATATAACAAGGTCATTAACAGAATGACTTATACAGAGCTCAAGGGTTATTTTTTTTTCTATTACTGCTAAAGACTTCCTTGAATTGCTGCTCTGCCTAATGTAGACATCTTCTAATAAGATAATGTTAAGAAGTATTCTCAGTAACAGTCAAATTGGGTCTGCATGACATTGAAATTAACAAAAATTGAGAAAGTTCACAGTACCAGATGCAATGTCATTTACTCGGTGTTTAATAAATTCTGCTGTAAAGTGGGAACTCATTAGGAGGAAATAGTAGAAAAGAGAAATACGTGATTCAGCTGATCACAAGAGAACTGTCTTTGGTGTAGCAAGACCATGAAGAGAGGTTTGATCCTGGAATACACACGGCAAAATATTTTTAGCTGGAAATAGGGGCACTCTAGTGACATTGTGTAAGCCAGTCATCAAATTCCACGCAAAATACTGTATGTACCTAAGCTCATGGATGTTCAGAAAGAACAAACTGGAATAAACACAGGAAAAAGCCAAAAGGAGTATATGGGGAATCAAGACTTCATCTTATGAGATTCAATGAATTTGGCTCATCTTCCTTAGAAACTTGAAGGGTGAAAGACACTGTGTCTGAATATCCCTATGATGTACAGCACATTAGACATTAATAATTTTACATGGAGTTCAGAAGATTTCTGCTTATCAGAGGAGTGAAGTCTATACAGCCCTCTTGTAAGACTAAAAGGGAAAAACTTTCTGAGTTTGAAATGATGCTCAATAATCATTATAGTCACTGTTGCCTTATGTATCTCAAACTCTTCCTAAAGCAGGTTCTACTGGAAGTCTGTTCATTCTCAGTATATTCTACTAAATATTGATCAGCTAAAGAATTCTAATAATATAGTCTAAACTGCGGAACTATTTTGGGTCAATGAACTGGTCATTTGAAAGCATGTCTAATATTCCTCTTACAACCTTTGATTTTCCTTTTTTGTTCTTTTTTTTTTATAAATTGTTACACTCACAAATGGTACATGGCATGAAAAGTTCTCGGCAAGTGTTCCAGTTGTGTTTCACTCTGGTTAATCAGATGGCAGTGAGGATAGTAAAATAAAACTACTTTTCTCCAAATTCAGTCTTCAATGAAACTTCATAGCTTTGAGATTAAAAAAAAGCTCATGTGAACCTTGATTTATCATATAAAATTAAGTTTCAGACTGAAGTGTAACTCTTTCTATCATTCTGCTAGATTTTGTTGTGAAACAGAAAAGATATAGACACAAAATTGACTTCTGTATCTCATTTTCCTTCAGGAAATTCTCCCTGAGTTTCAGCAAATAGATTTTTTTTCTTTTTAGTTTTCATTATTCTCCATAAATAATTTTGGTTTGGAAAAATATATTTTTTCTTTAGTTTGGAGGGCAAATTAGGCAGTTAATTTCTGGAATTAGATGTAATATTTTAAAATCATTTAATAATACTTTGTTAATATTTCTTCAAAGCACTTCCGGCTTTCAGGAGAGCCCTCTAGACTACAGTTGTCTGAATCCTAATGCTATGAACTTTCCCAGATTTATGATGGTTAATTTCTGAGCAATGATGATATCCACAACATGAAAGGAATTCAATAGACATGGTGAAAAAAAAAGTCATGTCTACTTGAGTACCTTAGAAATTTAAAAAAAAGGATAAATGGGAATTACCACATTCTCAGCTTTCTATGATGTTCCCAATCACATTTAAGTGATTTGTGACTTTATATTCAATTCAGAATAAAAACTTAGCTACTTTTACCAAAGATGTCTGCAGCTCAATAACTTTCAGGCAAAACGCAGAGCAGATTTGCATTAAACTTTTAGGTGGTTTGAGACCAAAAATTCCTGGATGCCTCTTTGCTGCTAAATATTAGAAATTTGGAAATAAATGCAGGGGGTCTGCAGAAAAATTGCACTTGACTGACTGTTCCTGATTAGATATTAACACCGCATTTACAACTATTTTGAATACATGAAATTGAGAAATGACTGTGCTTTGCCCTAATGTAACACTGGGACAATTTGAAAAATGTTGGCTCATGATACCAGCAAGACAGAACCTCTGACCTTGGGAATGAGGTAGCTGACAGACTTCTCTTTAACTGGTAACCAAAGTATTTTTCTTTCTAGATCTCCATATCTCCTCAGAAATAAAAAAATCACGAATTCTCTGTAAGAGGTCTATTTCAGTTTGTGCATGCACATTATAAAATAGTCTGCAAAGAGGGGGCTGGCAGTGTCTGATATATCCACAGGGAGCCTTTTGTTTCAGCCATTTCATTTGGAAAGATAATGTCAGGCTGTGAGGTGAGATGCTAAATGTGAAGGTAATACATTCCTTACAATATCAAGGACATAATTATAAAAAGAGTTTCTTGCCTGAGTTGAGATTGTCAGAAAGGAGGCAATGCCAAAATAAAACCGTGCTGATGAAAAACTGGACTACAGTACTGGAACTGCTGTCTCCTAGCACACATCCAGAAGGTGGGTACTTTGTGCCAAGCACTAAAATGGACAGTCCAATAAATCAACAAGGAAAAAGTCTTCCCTTCATGTTTTTTTGTGGAATTTCACACAAAATTGCCCAAGTCTGGGCAAAACTATAATAGCACTCATATTGTTGAGCTATGTCCAAAAACACTGCTATTTTCACTAAGCAAGTACTCTAAAAGTATACAACCTTAAAAACTGTGTGTTTCACATTTTACTAACAGGAAAGAGAGTAGCATTAATACACTCCACTAAAATATTGTTCATTCTAAAATTGCAGATAATCCTGTGTGGTATAGGACAAAGTACTATTATCAGGAAAGACTCTCAAGTCGGTGTTGTTTTCCAAACACAAAAAAAGCACAGTTCAATTTCACAGATCTGGGTATTTTTTTCTGTTTCTTACAAGGCACTAAATTACATGTTAATCGGCTTTTTTTTTTTTTACATCCTTTGTAGAGAAACCTCTTTTAAATGCAAGTGCGTTATTTTTAAATATCTGAAAAATTATGGAAATCTGATAGTTACATGGAGGGTTTATTTTAAATTTACTTAGTTCATTGTTGTTTCAGCATTTCTAGGACGAGCTTTGGCTTCAGCAAATCTTTTTTCCTTTTCCTTCTGGATGATGGAGAAACATTCTTGTTTAACAGCATATCTGTGGACTTAATATTAGCTGTGAAAGCTGACTATTGTGTTATCACCGTGACATTTATGACTTTGTAAATTATGTTTCAAGATAGTAAAGACTGGATTCCAAAATCAAAGATTTTTTGTACTTAAGAGTGGTCTCTGAATATGTACTCCGCGCTTTAAAAAAAATTTGTTAGCCAGATGTATTTTTTCTCAGATTTTCAAAAGAAATACTCAGCTTGTACTGAAACAGGAGGGTAAGCCCAAAAGAGTTAACTAAGAAACTTGGGCCTGCTAACAAGTTACTTACATTCAAAACGATTTGTTCTGTACTGCTAACTGGACCAAAGCTTAACAGAGTGCTAAAGGTACATGTAATGGGCCTAGAGGCAATAAATTAAGATTCAGTAAGCTAAAGTAGACATTTGAATAGGAGAAATAGGCTGGGAGCCAGAGCTTTCTCCAAGCTTGAGCGAGCGGGTCAAGAACAATGGAAAGGAAGAAAGGTCGGATTGAGGAAGATGAGAATACGCCCCCTACCCATGGGATGAAGATGGGATCTCCCCCTAGAATTGGGGATAGAGAGAAGCGCCGCCCCAAGCTCCGCCTGAGCTCCACCTATACTCCGCCTGTTATCAATATGTATGAATAGATGCTGTAATCACTTGAATATGCACTTAATCACACCTGAAAAATTGTATAAAATGGCTGATTTTGTGTGAAGCCGGCGAGCAAGTTTTTCCAGCAATAGCTGGCTTGCTCCCAGCGCTGCTAATAAATACCTTTGCTGCTTAAAGATAAAAAGTCTCTGAGCAGTTTCTCAGACCGATTTTTCGGATTCAGTACTCAAGAGCAGGTATGTATGAAACATCTCATATGAACTGGCATATTACTGTTTCTCATGTAATAAAGTCTCCAATTCACATACTGAATTGTTAGTACTCCTGCTATTAGTGCAAAAAGACAGGTAGTCTCTCACGACTTCATTAACAGAATATGGATGAAACAGTGTTATTATTTTCATTCAATATAATGATTCATGCAAAAAGAAGAAATAGTAGCAAAGACTTGAGCCTCATCACTATATTAATCTCTAGAACATGTATTTTGAGTATTTCAATAAGTATGGATTTTTGCAGGGTAGACTAGCCTGTTAAGTTATTCACAGTGTCAGGTATTGTGGATATTGCTGGTGCAGTATCGTAAACTAGATTGCAATATTGTGACAAGGATTTATACAGTCAACTTAAAGCTTCATTACTGTGTTATTGCCTTTGCGGCCAGTAACAAAATCAGTGAGAGACTTTCCGGCAATTGTGATTCTAGGAAGCTACGTACGTATCAGAACATTTTTCCTGATGTGCACCAGTGGCAACTTGTAGGCCTTCATATTATTATACAGAAAAATAATATAATTTTCCCCTTGACACAGCAGTAGTGCATGCATATGTAAATTAAAATAATAAACTAGAAGAAATGAATGACTTTGGAAATGGAAGAATGGAAAAGCTGCATAATGTCTGTACTGTGTGAAAAGGGATTAAAAAAAATCTGCCATGCCGTGCAGAAATCCTACTTTGTTTTCCCAGTTCTTGGAAAAACATGAATATTTTATAATGTGAGTATATTTATAAATAATGTATAACTGTCTCATAAATTATTACTAATTCTTTTTATGAAGAGTTAAACATGAGCTACCCACATTTTTGTAGACCAACAAGTGAGTAAAATGCCCCATTTACTACAAAATGCATTTGCTACTCATGTTTTTAAGCATGCTTATAAGAGTAACTGGGACATATCACTATATTGTGTACTATCTCCAAGTTCAGCCCTGAGTTCAGCCAAATAAAACTGAAAGGCTCTAGTCTCTAATGTCTCTAATTTCTACATCTTATCAGAGGGTGGTGGTAGGCACATCTGAGTTGATTTCCTGCTGGCCACTTTTGCTCCTTCATCAGGGCAGATGTGTTGGGGTGAGTTTCCCTATGATCCTTTCCTTTTTCTACCTGGAAATTTTGACTGGAGAATTTTGTAATTATTTGGATTTGTTTGGAATGTTGGGGCCTGTGTCTGTCCCCCTGGAGGGGTTACTGCACTATGGCTAGCACAGAAGTGGTGTGCAGCTGGAAACCTATGTCAAATCTCACATACAGTGTCCAGCTTAGAGCAAGTTCTCCACACTTATGGTACACATAAGACAGAGGTAGCATGTATATACTGAGTCCAAACTGTCCCAAAGGAGGGGGAGAGGAAGCCTCCACAAACCTTCACACAGCATGTGCAGTCAACCTGACAACTCAAAATCTTTTCCTGATGAAGCACACAATGCTCATCTGTACAATTTGCAATCTGTGCAAACCGGGTTCTTGTCCTTCCTAGAAATCCTGAACCTACCATAGGCATGGACAGGGATGTATAAGGTATCATTGAGCTGGAATGGCTCATCAGGTCTTCATGAAAGAAGCATATCTGCATGATCAAGGACCCTCTACAGTTTTGCACAGCACTACCCTCTAGGATTCCACAGGTTACTAAACCTTCCTGGACCTGGATGTACTGCAGGTGGTGGGGTATGTGAATTAGCAGGTTTCTCCACTAGTCATCAAATCACAGGTTTTCATGTACCTATATCAGATAATGACATGACGGACTCAGTAGCAGAAAGTTTCTATGGCACACTTTATATTTGTTTCAGGTGTCTAACTTGTGTACATCCTGCAAAAGGTCTACCATTTCTGGGCAAGAGGTACCATTCTAACTGCAAAATTCTCTCAGGATAATGGCTTTTGTAGGTGGTAAACTCAATGCTCTCTTACTGGCTGACAAATAAACAAGTCCAAAAATACAAGTCAACATGTTTGTGTTCCTGCAAGTGTTTGCTTGTGCACAGTGCACTCAAAGGCTTGTATACAGACCATTTTTCACAGACTGTTTAGCACAAATGCTCCATAGTGTAAAAAAACCTTAATTGCATCAAACAGATGACATGTTCCAAGGTACAGGCTATTAATTCAACAGATGAGGTTATACTTCAGGATTTTATAATGCAAGGATTGTTTATCAGAAGTATTTAGTAGAAAATCCCATTTAATTGTTGGTGGAAAACTGATCAAGTGTTGTGA